GTTGGGGCAAATTTTACCCCTTGCGGGGGGCGGGGTCTGACAGGACGGGGCGTCCTGGAGGGGTATTGAGGGGCGGGGCTTACCGTAAGTCTGCAATGGAGGGATCTTTTGGGCAGGGCGTCCTAGAGGGTTCTGGCGGGACGGGGCTTACTCAGAGTCAGTGCACACTGGAGAGATCTTTTGGGAGGGGCTTATAGTGGGCGGGGTGTCCTGGAGGCGTCTGGCGGGACGGGGCGGGGCTTGTCCAGAGCCGGTTGTCCAGAGGCGGAGCGCAGACGGACGCTGTCCGAGGTGCTGGGCGTCCGCTGGGGCGCATGGGCGGTGTGCACCATGGGGAACCGCAGCGCAGCGGACGAGGCCCGGCTGCTGGCAGAGCCCGGGCGGGACGCGGGGGGCGCGGGGGCGGCGGCAGCCCTGGCGGGCGGCGTGCTGCTCATCGGCGCAGTGCTCGCGGGGAACTCGCTAGTGTGCGTGAGCGTGGCGTCCGAGCGCGCTCTGCAGACGCCCACCAACTACTTCATCGTGAGCCTAGCGGCCGCGGACCTCCTCCTAGCCGTACTGGTCCTGCCGCTCTTCGTCTACTCCGAGGTGAGCCTGCGCCCCGCCCGTCGCCACGCCTTCCCAGGGACCCTGGGCTGGGGCGGCTGCCAGGCCCTGCCTGCACTCCGACCAGTCTGCATGGCCAGCAGTGTCCCCCTCCCTCAGGATCCTTCTTCCCTCCTCTCACCTCAGCCTCCGCTTCCCGGGAAAAACCCAGGGACCAGTAACTTTGTCAGTCCAGCCCCTTCCCCCCCATTCCTCATCTCCAGCTGGGCTCAGTTCTTCAAGGGAGCCAGCTGGGGACAGGCAGATGCAGGCAACGCCCCTGGGCACAGGCCCACACGTCATTGCACCCAACCACGGCCAGGCGTGCCCACGAACGTGCACACATAGGCACCCCCCACCCCCCACCCCCGGACTCAGGCCACAGCACCGGAGACTCTGGAGGGCTGCTGGGGGAAGGAGGTCTGGGTGGGCCTTAAACTTCTGCCCCAGACCAGCGCTGCTGGCCTGCGCAGGCTTGGGTCCGCTGTGGTGCCAGCCCCTCTAGCCTCCAAGTTTGGGGAGAAAAGCTGCTTAAGGCTAGGCCTGGACACACTGTCCTGGCTGTGGGGGTGGGGCGGGGCTTTTCTCAGGTGGAAACCACAGCTCCGGCCGGGGCTGTGACCAAGGCCAGAAGGACACGGATGCACATGACCTGCCCTCCCCCAGCCACGCACACACAGCACCGTAATGACTTAAGCTCCTAATCGTCCCAAAGCACTGGAAGGGGATTGGTCACGGGGCTGGCTGCTGCTCCTTTGTCCTTGGGGGCCACAGGCAGTCTCCCCTCAACCCTGAAGTGACCTAACCCCAGCTTTATGCATTCACCCCATTATGCCAAGGACAAGAAGGGGCGGTTCCTACCACCACCCTCATTCAAAGAACAAACGCTCAGTGGCCCTACAGGACGAAGTACAGCTAAGCTGCCCCTTTGGGTTTCCAAGGCTAGAAATCGTTACGGGAGCAGAAAACATCATCTTCCTCCCCCAGAGCAACTGCTAGATTCAAACTGCTAACTCACTCTGCCCCCTGGCTCTGAGCGAAGTTGAGGGGACCGGTCCAGTCTGCAGACAGAGGGGTGCCCGAGGGGAGGGGAGTCCCGAGAGGTCAGGAGGTAGCTAGCCCTCTCCCAGGGTCTCCCCAGGCCCTTCTCATTCTGCAAGGACAGGGTGGGAGAGGGGTGCAGGGCCGGAGTCCAGCGAGGCTCTCTACTCCTCCGCACCCCTCTAGAGGCTAAGAAGCCCCGAGGAGGGGGGGCGCAGCTCTAAAGGTGGTCTTGCGCCCAGGTCCAGGGGGGCGTGTGGCGGCTGAGCTCCGCCCTCTGCGACGTGCTCATGGCCATGGACGTGATGCTGTGTACCGCCTCCATCTTCAACCTCTGTGCCATCAGCGTGGACAGGTGGGTGTGCTACCCCTGCCCCTTCTGCTCCCCGCTCTTCCCCGGCCCCCTCATCGCGCCCCCCCTCCGCACCGCAGGTTCGTGGCCGTGGTCCTCCCGCTGCGCTACAACCGCCGGAGCCGCCGCCAGCTGCTGCTCATTGGCGCCACGTGGCTGCTGTCCGCGGCCGTGGCGGCGCCCGTGCTGTGCGGCCTCAACGCCGCGCGCAGCCGCCACCCGGCCGAGTGCCGCCTGGAGGACCGCGACTACGTCGTCTACTCGTCCGTGTGCTCCTTCTTCCTGCCCTGCCCCGCCATGCTGCTGCTCTACTGGGCCACCTTCCGAGGCCTGCGGCGCCGGGAGCGCGCGCGCCGCGCCAAGCTGCGCGGACCCCAGCCCAGCCGCGCCCCGGGCCCGGCGCCCGGCCCCAGGGCCCCCACCAGCCACCCGGAACCGGCGCCCGACATGCCAGGTCAAGGCAGCTACCCAGCCCCACCTCACGCCGCGCTCCCTGGATCCCAGAGCCCCAGCAGGGACCCCAGCCCACCCCCGGACCCGGCCCACGCCCAGTCCCCGCCCCAGGCCCGCAGGAGGCGCGCCAAAATCACCAGCCGAGAACGCAAGGCTATGAGGGTCCTGCCGGTGGTGGTCGGTGGGTACCGGTCCCCAAGGTGGGTGGCGGGGTGGTGGTGGGGGCAAGTCCTCGCGGAGCCCCCCCTGACGCCCGGGGTACCCCCCAGGGGTCTTCCTGCTGTGTTGGACGCCCTTCTTCGTAGTGCACATCACTCGTGCGCTGTGTCCAGCCTGTGCCATACCGTCCCGGCTGGTCAGCGCCGTCACCTGGCTGGGCTACGTCAACAGCGCCCTCAACCCTGTCATCTACACTGTCTTCAACGCCGAGTTCCGCAACGTCTTCCGCAAAGCTCTGGGTGGCTGCCGCTGAACGGCCCCGCAGCCCCGCGCCTCTGCCAGCGCTTCTCACTCCGAGGGGGAAGGAGGGCGTCGACGCTAACGCCCCACCCTCAAGGAGAGGTGGGCCTTCTGCTGAAGAGGGTTGGCGCTTAGGCCCCTGGCTCAGCCAGCCCAGCCCTGACCCTTCCCCTCCAGGAGGCCTCACTGGTGGCTGAGGTGCTATCCACAGAGTCCCGCAGTTCAGGCTGGTCCCCAGGCGGTCAGCTATGGCCGGCCACTGGTTTTCCTCTGTCTGCCCATCAGGCAGGCGGCCCCAGATCAGGGCCAAGAAGCCTCCTGACCAGCCCCTGACCCCAGGTTTTAAGTGGTATCTGGCCAGCCTGCCAGCAGCTGCAGCAGACACTGGTGTGGGCTCTGGGCCCTCAGAGGGGCACCTCGGCACTCAGGGGAGGGGGGGGGCTCCCCTTATTGACGACAGACCTTCCAAACCCAGCGCTGGCTGGGGCTGTGCAGGGGGGCTGGCCCCTAGCTAGTCTCAAGAACTGGTCAGGGCCACCCAGCCCGGTTCTCAGCAGCTGGCCCAACCCCACCTTCAGCAGGAGGCAAGATGGCTCTCCCACAAGTCCACACCTGTCCTGCTCCGCTGCTCCAAGACAAGGAGGCGGGCACGTGGGGCTTTGGCCAAGAGACTGCACAATGTGAGCACAGGACTGAGTCGGGGCACCAGCTGATGTGGCATGGACCCTTCCTTGTGAAAAAAGCGGCCCCTTTGAGAATGATGGGGACATATGTATGGCTCTTGTGAGCTACCCGCAGGACTCCAGAGGGCACGCCCTGCTCCCGCGTGTCCTGGGGTCTGTCTTGAAGTTGGCTGGCATCCAGCCCCCAAAGCCTGGGGCACAGTGGACCTGGCCACGTGAAAGCGGGCACAGGCTGCAGGCCAGAAGCTCTGTGCATGTCCAGCGAGTCCGTCTCTGGCCACAGCATGTGTCCCCACCAGTCAGCATGACAGAGGCTGGTCATGGGCTTGGCTTGGCTCTCACTGCCAGAGGCCTCAGCCCGGCTGGCCCTGCTGCCCTGGGGCCAGTGCAGGGGGCCTGCGTGCCGGCTCCTCTGTGTGGCAAGGATGAACAGACCAAGGGGACCCTGACTGGGCAGGGCCTCACTTTATTGAGGACACTTGTGTGTGTACACGGTGGGGAGAGCACCGTGAGGGGATGGGCTTTGCCACCCCTCTGTGTCCCCACCGGCCCCCACCGCTGTCCGCTCAGTGTCCTCTTCTGTCCACATGGCGACGACCAGCTATCCAAGTCCAGGAGACGCGTGTCCGAGGGCAGGTCCACTGAGTGTCCTTTGCTCCGCCAGCAGGTTTTCACAGCCACCCCCCCAAGGGGGTGCCTCCGCCCTCACACGGAGACTTTCTCAATGACACCCTCATCCACATGGACCTCGTCTCCCTGGACGGTGACCGCTGCTGACTGGCCACACACATGCTGGTGCTCTTTCCAGTCCTGTAAAGGGGGACACTCCATGTTGGGGGTCCCCACAGGCGGGACCGTGACCCACAGGCTGCTCCCCACTATGGCCTGGGAAGGTAGGAGGCTGGTGAGGGTGTACTCTTGCTCCCTGTGGCCCGATGCTCAGGGTGAGGGGCCCCATCACTAGCTAGCAGCATCGCAGGCTGACCCCCAGCTCAGCACACTGGGACCACACAAAGGCAGACTGCTTACAGCCGGCCAGAGCCCGCAGTGCCCATGGCAGTGGGGCATGACCGGAGGGTGTCTCCAGGGTCTCACAGGGATCAGGGGGTCAGGAGGTGGGAGCAGCATCCCCGAAGAAGCCCCGCCCACTGCCTCACTCACACTGCCCTGTGCTCCCCTAAATGCTCCTCTTGGAGAGAGAAGTTGCCCATGGGCTAAGAATGGCACTTTGATGTGCACACCAGGCACCTCCATGGCTGTGACACCCGCTCACAGGCCCGGTCCACCTGTCCCCTGCCCACTGGGCCGTGAGACTGGGGAGTGGCCGTGGGTGTCTCCACGGGGACTGCTGAGATGTTCTCTGTGAGCCCCCAGTGAACTTGACCCCACCGTTGACCTTCACGTGAGAAGCTGGAGCCAGGAACACAGACTGCCTTCTCCAGGCCCGTAGGGGAGCCAGGGAAGCTACCGCGGTCACAGGTGTTGGAGACCAGCGTCTGACCCCCATCCAGCCTTTGCACAGAGGTACCAGATCAGACCATTCCCCAAACCCCAGAAGCACAGTGACCCCCAGAGGAAGTGACCCCATTTCACCTCCCACCACCCATGTGAGAAACGAAACCTGGGTGGACAAGTCCAGGTGGAGAAGGCCACCGATACTTATGGGACCGGCATCCAGACCCAACGCTCCCGGCCAGAGGGCTCCTGCAGAAGCAGCTTCTGCGTGCAGGCCAGGCTGGGAGGGAGGACTCCCACGGCTGGCAAGCCTAGGCTGACGGTGCTTGGACTCCGCTCCTGCACATGTACCAGGAGTGTGGTGGGCACCGCCAGTCTCTCCTTGTCTTGGGCAGAGGCCCTGGCGGGGCAGTGAGTGACGGTGGGCGTGGCCTCAGAAGAGGCTGCACACATCTGAGGACGCCTATCCGGGCAGCACCTGGGCTGGCGAGTTAGGGTGTTTGTTGGGTCTGTTCTCAGCTGCGGCACCATAAATGTTCCTTAAGGAAAGTGGCTGTGACATTTCCATGTGACGTTCCCAGGAGGGGGCAAGTGCCGCCCTCCCCCAGCAGTGTCCAGGAGACACGGTGAAGCATCTTGTGGGGAGTGGACAAGCCAGGTGCCCTTTTCCTCAGACTCCAGGGGCAGCCACCTTCCAGGACTAGGGGCTGGCCCAAGCTCACCTAAGCTCCTTCCGCCAGGAGCACTCAGTGGAGACCAGGCCCAGACAGGCTGGCCATCCACGGCGCCCTTCGGTGTGCACTGATGACTGCACTGCTTGGTGCGCCTCCTAACAGTTCCCCCTGGGCGCCCCACACTGCCATGGGTGGCCCCCTCCTGCACATGCTGCCCCGGGGGTTTCTGTGGGGACTAGCACAGCCCGAGGGAGGCCCTGCCCCCAACAGGGGACCCGCCCCTGAGGGAAGGCCCTGCCCAGAGGGAGGCCCTGTCCCTGAGCAGAGGTCCCATTCAAGGAAGCCACACTCCTGAGGCCCCGCCCCCCAGCAGAGGCCAGGCCCATCTGGCAGATGGCTCACCGCCCAGTGGTTGGCCAGCTCTACCTTAGGCAGCACATGTAGATACAGGCACAGGGTGGCTACGCCACTGGCACCCTAAGGACTTTACTGCCCTCGGGAATAAGTGGGCCCCACAGAGAAGGGGCAGCGATCTGGGACCGGAGACCATGGCAACCCAGCAGAGGCAGCTGTTATCACTGGGGGGTGGGGGAGCAGTTGGGGGTGGGGACTCCCCCAAAGGCTGCAGTCAGATGCACGATAGCAAGAGGTGGAGCCTATGAACAGTGGCCTCCTTCAGTGACCAGCGCTCCTGCCCCCACCCCAGGGCACGGAGCCTGTGGGCACCCGGGCAGGGGCACAGCTGGCTCATTAACCGAGGTCACCAGGGCAGCAGCCCAGCTTGGCAGCTACTCCCTGCAGTCAGAAAGTGTCTCACCACCCGGCGTGGCGGCAGGGGGAGGCCAGGAGGCCTGCAGCACACATGCCGCAGAGGTGTGGCACACCTGGGTGCCTGCCCCTGCAGCACCCCTCCCCACACCATGACCCACCCCCGTGGGAGTCCCCTGCCATCCACCCTCTGGGGAATGGCTGCCTCGCAGGTGGATGTTGGGGGCCAAGGAGGAGGGGTAAGACTTCCAGGGCCTGGCTATCAATGGGGGGTGGGAGGAGCCAGTGGGAAGGTGGTGGGCCAGAGGGTGGGTAGGGATGGCATGATGTCGGAGGCGTGGCGTTCAGTGGTTGATGAGCAGGGTGCAGGGGTCAGTGGTGGTGGGGACAGAGCCGGGGTCTGTGGTTGGGTCCGTGGGCAGGGCCCCTACCTTGCGCTGACAGAAGATGGAGCAGTAGTTGACCTTGTGGCAGCCTGTGCACTCGCTCAGGGCCTCCCGGCCGCAGTTGACACAGGACTGCTGCAGGACAGACACGCCAGTCAGTGCCGGTGGCCAGCCCCCGCCTGCTGCCCACAGCTCCCCACTGGGAGGCCGCACGCCTGCTCCTGCAGGTGCTGCCCTCCGTCCAGCGGAGCGGGCCCCTCTGCATGGGGGTGTGGGAATGGTAATGACCTTGAGGTTAGTGCTTAACCCAGAGCACCACCGGGATACTTTCAATGACAAAACACGGACTTAAAAAAGGCTCGCCCACACGTGGGCCCACCTGCCTTGCCCCATCCCTCAGACGGGCTCAGGAGCCTTTAAGGATGTGCCTCCCACCAGGAATGGAAGCCCACCCACCCACCCCTGCCCAGGCCAGTGCCTCCCCCCCTGGAGTCTACCCCAGCTGCTGTGTCTGCAGGGTCCCATGTCCCTTCAGGTGCCCAGGAGAGACTGAGGGCCAGCCTGAGACCACTGTGTGTCCCAACCCAGTGCCACCTGAGGCAGTGGCTGCCTGCAGCGCGTCGTGGGGACACAGGGACCCTGGGGTCACGCAGGCAGGAGCCGTCCATCTTGCAGAGGGGATCCCACCTGGGGGTGGCCCTGCTCGGTGCTCTGGGCCCCACAGCCCCGGCTGCCCTGGCAGCACCCTAGGCAGCTCTGCATGAGGCCTGCAGATTACGCTGTGGATGGCCACCACGTTTTTCTAGGAAAAAGTGCCAGCCCTGTAGCCTAAGGTGACCAGGCCGTCCCGCTTTTGGCGGGACAACCCCAATTTTTAACAATTTTTCCCGTGTCCGCGGTGTTTAAAAAAGTCCTGATTTTTGGAAAGAATGGACGACAAGCTAGGGTACACGGTTTTCGGCTGCCATGTGGCTATTTCGCCAGGATATGAGTTTTACCAGTGGTGTCCCGCTTTTGTCCGCTTTACCAATGCTAAAATCTGGTCACCTTACTGTAGCTGGTCTCTGAGGAGCATGTCTGCCTCCGGGGACACTTAACCCTTGGACAGGAAGCCGGGGCTGGAGGACACGTGCTGCGCTGGCCCCGGCCCAGACCCCGAGGGCCCCAGTGTCCTTGCTGGCCCTGGAAGGACGCCGGCTGCCAGTCTGGTCAGAGCGTGAGCACAGTCCCTGTCGGCCCGAGCCCGTGCCTGGAACCGGAGTTGTGCTTCACAGCCTCTGCTCTCCTCGGAGCCTGGTGGGTTCTCTCCTGTCTCTGCCACCCCTGCCCCTCAGAGGGTCCCCCACCCCAAGGACTCAAAGCCTGTCTCCCATGACACCCAGCAGGGGCTGCCGACACACGCAGTCCCCACGGGTCCTCCATCCCCAGCCTGGGATGCTTGTCACACTCAGGCAGCGGGAAGCTGGGTGGAAAGAGGGCACGAGGGAACAGCCCAGAGCCCTAACCACTCCCACTGCCCCGCCCTCTCTCCCCTCCCCTCCCCGCGGAGTTTCAGGCCTAAATGCCTTGCATGTTGCTCCCTGGGGCGGCGGCAGGGAAGTTGGGGATAGTAACCAGGAACGCACAAAAACGCAAATGCTCTAAAATCGGATCTGGTGACCACTGAAGACACTTCTGGATATGATTGTTTGATGCTTGGGTTCTGTCCCAATAGAACTGTTTATGAAAAAAAGAAAGCCAGTTCACAAAAACCAGTAGTTAGAAAGGTAGAACCTAAACTTAGCACCCAGAGGAGCCCTGACCACCACGGCGCCTCCCCAGCCCTGTAGTCTGTGCTCTTGGGTGGGGGGCGAGGAGGGCGCAGGGACAGCTGGAAGGTCCTGTTTTCAAGACAGATGCTGCACCCTGCAGGCCCAGGAGGAGGGTGCACAGAAGTCTCTGTGTGCGCGCGCGCGCACACACACACACACACACACACACTTGCGGCGCCGGGCTGGTGCAGCACAGTGGGGAAGTACTCAGGCTCCCACGCCTGCTGCATGCACTTTACAATCACCCAAGCCTCCAGCCCTTGGGGGAGATGAGGAACTGTGTCAGGTGCCCCGGCAGGGGTGGGACATAGCGACTGGCCACATTTAGGGGCGACGCTGAGGGGCTGAGCGCTCAAGGTTTTACGAGGTGCCACAGCTACGTGCATGACACCACCTCACTCGGGCGGTCAGGCCCTTCTGCCTAAAAACACGGCTGGGGGCACCTTCCTCTGGGCCAAAGTGGGGCAGGGGCTCTGGGCAACACTGCTGGGGGTGGGGAGTGGAGGTTTGCAGGTGGGGCAGGGGTCCGGTGCTGTGGGGGACACTTCTCTGGCATTAGGCCCCCAGAGTGAGACCCAAGAGACAGAGAAGGCTTCCTGCCCTGTATTCACCACCATCCCCCGCCCCTATGGGCAGGTTTTGAGGGGCATCTCCACTGCAGAATGCTCCCCGAAGTGTGGAATTGAGGGTGCTCTCTCAGTGGCCCCGCCTCCTGCTGTTAGCTGCAGACTGCAGAGCCGCCGCCACCAGGGGGCGTGCAGGTCATGTGTACCTGGGCACAGGTGAGCGGACGCTGCTGAGTGCAAGCTGCAGTCCAGGCAGAGGGCCCTTCACGTCCTCCCACACAACGCCCTGGGCTCTTCGGAGGTGGATGAGGTAGGCGTTCTAAAGATTCAATGACCCTCCCTGCAGCCACAGACCCCAATTACTGCCATCTGCCCGAAAGGGGCTTCATGGAGCCTTCGCAACCGACTGACAGGCAGACCCCAAGCAAGAGCTCACTGGCCACGTCGCTGGGCCATGCCCACTCTGGGCGTGCAGGGAGCCCTGGGGGGGAGAGGCCCGCTCTCCTCCCTCCCTACGGCCGGCCTCCCACAGGGATGCAGCCTGACCAGCTGAGCACACGGCCCCTGTGCAGGCACTGTCTCCGCCTCGAGCTGAACAGGGCATCGGGGCACCCGAACGACGCCCACGCCTCTCTGACGATATCGGATCCCGCAGGCATTTGGGGGTCTAGGTTTAAAATCGAAGGAAGACTGGCCAGCTGGGTCCTTTCACCCTTCAATCCTGTGCACCCCGAAGCAAGCGTGACACGCAAAACTGGCTTCAAAGTTTGAACTGAATTTGTACCTTTTCAGATAATCCACAAAAGCAGTCCATCTTAGAAACCTTTTAAGAAGGTGGTCAGTCTCAATGGGTCATATTAGACTACAGTGAAAGGAGTCCGAAAGACTCTGGTAGGCCATCTGGACCTGCAGGCCACCTGCTCCTACAGGCCACCTGGACCTGAAGGCCATCTAATCCCACAATCCAACAAGACTTAGCAGTCTTTACATTGGTTTCAGAAGAAATGCATAAATGGGTTGTAAAAGTTTATATTGGCACATTTTTTTTCAATATTGAAATAATCCTTTAATGCTAAAGACCAGTGGAACGTTTTATTATGATAAAGAATCCAAACAGTTACGTCTTTAATTCTGGTAACAATAAATCTGAGGCTAAAATGAGTCTTCCTTGGAAATATTTTAAAGAAATGTTGACCCATAGAAATGAGTAAATAAAAAAAGAAATGAGTACAAAATAAAAGGAGACATATTTCTAAGTAAAGCTTCATAGAGTAACACAGCTGTTGACAAAAGTTGGGGAAATCACCACCTCAAACTGCCTGATGGGAACAGATCAGCACAACCACACGAGTGAGGAGAAACTGGGTATCCCCGTGGAAATGATAAACGTCCCGGCCTACCTCACACCACACATAAACGCTCACTCTGGACGGAACAAAGCAGGAAGCATGAGCAGAGGCTGAGACTCATAGAAGAAAACACGGGCAAGTCTTCAAGACTTGGGCTGGACGATGGCTTCTTAGACATGACACAAACACAGGCAACAACACCTACAGCACACCCATGAACTAGACTTCTTCGATATCCAGAACTTTAGGATTCCATAGGACACTTTGTGAAAGGAGTAGGAATCTATATTGAGACACGTTCTGATAACGGTGCTGTTGGTACCACGTTAGGGCATCTAGTGGCATATAGGTCCCTCTGTGTCCCTGCAGCCTCAGTGTGGCACTGACCACCCCCAACCCCAGAATCCCATGGTGGCAAGCCCACACCACCAGTCTCACATGGCCCGCTCCCTGCTTTCCCTCTGCTTGCTAGGAACTACAGACCGCCCCAGTGTGGCCAGCCAGCAGACATTGCCCCTACCCTACAGGCTGAATGACAACTTCTCTGTGAGGCCTGAACCCCAGCTTTGGGTGCTCCAAGAACTAAATGGAAAAGTTAAACCTAAAAAGCACAATATTGAAAGGTTTAAAACAAAACACCCTCATTCAACGAACTTACTAGCATATTTTGGAGGCCACAAAAGAAAGGTGCTGACAACTAAGAAAGAGGCATGATCCAATCTCAAAAGCAGAGGGAAGAAAGATGGGGGGGGGGGGTGAGTCTTGCTACCCAGGGGGCAATAACAAGCCATCTATTACAGATCTAGTTGGAAGTAGCTGAGAGAGAAAATGGGTAAGAAAAAACATTTTAAGAAACTACTGATAGATTCTTCCAAGTTTAGATGAGAAATAACAGAAATCCCAGAAGCTGAGGAAACCGCAGGAAGGGTAAACATGACAGAAAGCCGCCTGGGGGTGTCACCGCCAGGTTACCAAAACCAAGAGACAGAGACAATGTGCGTGCAGCCAGAGGGGCACCGCACGTTACAGCACACAGCACACGCGACAGCTGGCAGGTTGTCGGGAACAGTGGAAGGGCCTCTGATGGTGCCCAGAATCCCATCCCATCCCATAATATGCTGATAACATAATGGTGAACTAGGTCCCTTTCCAGATAAACAGGGATCAAGAAACTCACGAGCAGCCTGACCTGCGATAAATGCAAGAAAACTCTGTACGCTAAAGATGGAGATGACGTGAACTCTCGACCACTTCGACCCCCAGGACATCACAGATGACTACACTGAGCTCACCCACAAACCACCTCAACCTGCTGCCATCACCGAGGCGGTCCTGGTTTACAGCCACCCTGCCAGGGGTCCTTCGTGGATCTTCACAGGAGCAGGGAGCCTGTCTTCCTCCCGTGGGGA